AAAAAGTCCATTGAGAACAACAAGTTTCTTTTACAGAAATGATTTTAGAACTTTAATTCTTCTAAGAAATTTGTAAACTATCTATTCGTGCTAAAATTCAATTAACTATACATTCTAATTGCACATTGTTGAGAACCTCGACATACTTAAAGTTGTTTGTTCGGTAATACAGTCAGCTACAATGGTAATGGAAGTTTTATTATTAATCTAACATTCAAATTAGTTTGGCTTTCTTGAGCCAGTTAGTTTCTCAGTCAGTTATGTTTTTGTTTTTCTGTGTTTAATTTATTTCTATATCTTTGAAAAAAACATTATTATGGAAATGTATAGATATTTTTTGATTTTGATTTTTTGATTTACTCTATCAGATCAGAAAGTGAAAGTGTGACACATATCTGGATCCATTTATTATTTCATCGTGTTGGTGTTGTATGTGGTGACTATTGGAAAACCTCATAAAGAGCTCATGACCATCGCATTTACGCCAGATTCTTTTCATAGGATAAGGGTGATAAATGAGCACACAGTCCACCTGCAGGTAAGTGGTTGCTGTGGCTCATAGACATCTACATCTACCCTCGATTACGAACCAAAATGCCCCCGTGAGAATTAAGATGGAATGCCTCGTTTCCAGTAAAAAGGGTCTCCAGTTCTACACTCTACACTCACCATATGAAACACAGCAGCATTAAGCTGCTATTTTATTCTGAGAATATATGGTCCTTCCCCGGTCGAGCCGAACCATTCGTGCTACAATTATACCAGTAATATAGCTGCATCACGACCCTACCACGTTCGATATTTAGTCTGCAACGAGATACAGCGTCGAAGGAACGGGTCGTATGTTACTGCGATCGGCGATTAGAAAAATCTTTTCAATTTGTGGATATGTCCAGTAGTGGAGCTTTGTGGGCTGATGATCATGTAGAAATAGTTGCAAACGAGCTTATTATTATGTAAAGGTGTAAGCCAGCCGAAAATTCATAGCATTATTGAAAGTGTCCTTCCTATGTTCTATAACGTTACATTTTTTGACTTCTACAAACGTACAAACAAACATTCTTTCATATTTTCATATATCGAATAACATGCTTCTAATATTTTTTAAATGTTTGTCTGTATGTCTATGTTAAATTGGTACTTTCACATGTATATACATCATTATGCATATAAATTAAATTGCAGTGTACAACTGTAATATTGAAATGACTGACTTCTACTAAGCTCAGGAGCTCAGAGGGTTATTTTCATGCTATTAATACATGATTTAGCATTTTTTCTATATTATATCAAAAAAAAATTTTTTTGATGAGTCGAAGAACTGATGAAATAAATATTTTTGACGACTCTCTTATGTAAAGAGATGATATAAAAATCGAACACATCTTTTGATGGCTTGCAACATGAAAAAGATCCTTACGCCTTTATCTTGTCCAGGTGCGAAACATACTACATAAATAAAGTGAACATGTATTAAAATATATATATATATATATATATATATATATATATATATATGGTAAATAATACACAACATATATTTAAATATACATACATATAACGTATATTTACATACAATAATACAAATATGCTTATAAACTTGATGAATTAATATCCGTATTAATAAATATATATTTGAATAAATAAATATTTGAAGAGAAAAAAAGTCAATTACTAAGTGCCCTCAGGTAATGTTGTCGTAGTAGTAATTTAAATTAGTTTTTATTTGTTGAATTCTTAATATTATTCGGGAGGATGTCAGGGATTCGGAGAGGCTGCATTAATTCTATAAAAGCAATAGTTCGAGAACGGACTTGAGGGTCCAATGAAGTAATAAAAACATAGTGACGATAAATGTCATCCAAATTGAGAGAGAAGCAATATTCCGGGGAATTTGATTTATTAATTCCACGAGATCCAAGGAATTTCAACACATCAGCGGGCGAAGAATTAGTCATTTTGTATTGTGCATTTTGTATTAATGTAGCGGCGTTTAGCATCACGTACCACCTCATTGCATCTGTTTCTTAGCAATTTAAAGTTGGACCAATTTTGTTCAGAACGATCCTTTTTAAACTTCTGGAAGGCCCGATCTCGCCACGCCATTGCCACCTGCACCCCTTCAGTAATCCACGGAGCAGGAGGATGCTTAAAATTTACATAATGTACAGGAGCGTGAATATTATACAGATTCATGACGGTATTATTAAGAAGGGACATTTTATCATCAATGTTAGAAAGCTACCAAAGGGCCAAAATCAATCGCAGATGCGTCTCTTCTGAGACTCAATATTTATTCTAGAAAAATTGCGTAACTGCAGAAGAATTAGATTCTATTTTGGAGGTTTGAGTTTATACGAAAAGTAAATCAAGTCGTGTTGTGAGAAACAAGGAGCAGAGATCTGTCCAAACTGAATCCACACAATCAGAAGGGGAAGTAATGATAGATAGATAGATAGATCAATCAACGAATCATCATTGTCAGTATTTATCTGAGTTGCAGTGGGAGAATCGAATGATTCAATGATTGTTTGAAGTTTTTGAGAGCGAGAAGTATTTTTTAACAGATCGGTGTTAAAATCACCCATTATCATGTAGTCTATGTACTCAGATCCAATGGTATCAAGAGCCGTCTCAAGTGAGTTAAAGTAATCTACAGAAGAAGGGCAATACACAACACTTGACATTGCCATATCATCCAATATGTTGATTTCTAGAAATAAAAATTCAGCAGTGGAAAAATAGGGAGAGAGGGAAGATAGAATAATGCACTATTCCATCATCATTACAGCCCTTCACAAGTCCACTGCTGAACATAGGCCTCCCCCAAAGAATGCCACAAAGCACGGTCCTGAGCCACCTGCATCCATCGACTTCCTGCATGTCTTACCAGGTCGTCACTCCATCTCGTGGGGGGACGCCCTACACTTCGCCTACCGGTACGTGGCTGCCACTCGAGAACCTTTCTTCCCCATCGGTTGTCAGTTCTTCGAGCTATATGGCCGGCCCATTGCCACTTCAGCTTACTAATCCGTTGGGCTATGTCGGTTACTCTGGTTCTACTGCGGATATCCTCATTCCTAAGTTTATCACGCAGAGAAACTCCGAGCAAAGCCCTCTCCATAGCTCGCTGAGCGACCTTGAGCTTCCTCATACGGCCAGCAGTGAAGGACCACGTCTCAGTTCCATAAGTCATCACTGGCAACACGCACTGGTTGTACAATTTCGTTTTCAGATTTTGAGGTATGTCTGACGAGAAGATGTGTCGTAGCTTCCCGAACGCTGCCCAGCCGAGTTGAATCCGTCGATTGACCTCTCGGTCGAAGTTGGACTTACCTAGTCGGACTATTTGTCCCAGGTAAACATACTCGTCAACAACTTCGAGCTTAGTGCTCCCAACAACTACCGGCATAGGTGTGACATGGACATTGAACATGATCTTTGTTTTGTCCATGTTCATCTTAAGACCTATCCATTGGGAAACACTATCGAGGTCATTGAGCATAGTGCTTAGGTCCTCCAGCGATTCTGCCATAAGGACTATATCGTCGGCAAATCGAAGGTGAGTGATGTACTCGCCATTGATGTTGATACCGTATCCTTTCCAGTTCAGAAGCTTGAAAACGTCTTCCAATGCAGCGGTGAATAGTTTCGGGGATATGACGTCACCATGTCTTACACCCCTCTGCAATTGGATAGGTTTCGTACTCTGGTTCTGTACTCGGATAGCCATCGTAGCCCTACTGTACAAGCACTTCAACACTTCGATATACCGACAGTCAACTTGGCACCGCTGAAGGGACTGCAGCACCGCCCAAATTTCGACGGAATCAAAGGCTTTCTCATAGTCCACATACGCAAGACTTAGTGGCAAATTGTACTCTTCGGACTTCTGTACAATTTGCCGAAGGGTATGTATGTGGTCTATGGTGCTAAAGCCCTTTCGGAAACCGGCTTGTTCGGGAGGCTGGAAGTCGTCAAGTCTGCGCGCGAGACGATTCGTAATGACTCTCGAAAACAGCACGTAGACGCGGCTCAGAAGGGAAATCGGTCTGTAGTTCTTCAAGACAGCGTGGTCACCTTTCTTGAAGAACAAGACCACCGCACTTCTGCTCCACGCCTCCGGTGTAACGCCACCATGGAGGACGGAATTAAAGAGCTTCTGAAGGACTTCAAGTACCGGTTTTGCACCCGCTTTCAGAAGTTCCGCTGTAATTCCATCCTCGCCAGGGGCCCTACCGTTTTTAAGGTGCTGGAGAGCCATTCTAATCTCGCTCAGACTGACGTCCGGGATATCTTCGGAATAGTGTCGGATGAGACTCGCTCTTGGATCGTTACTCACACTTGCGTGTGGCTCCAACGATGACGTGTACAGCTGCCCATAGAACCTCTCAATCTCACTCAAAATCTCAGGTGTCCCGAAAACGATGCTGCCACATTCTGTCTTCAGCTTTGACAGGTGGCTCTTTCTGGCAGACAGATCTCTGGCAAAGACTTTGGAGCCTTGGTTCCGCTCGATCGCTTCTTCAATACGAGCTGTATTGAAGTTGCGTAAGTCCCGCCGCATGCATTTGGAGATCTGTCTGTTCAGATGCCTGTATGCTGTCAAGTCTGTTGAAGAATGTAGCTTCATCTCCCGTCTAACAGCGATGAGATTAAGAGTGTGATCGGAGAGTTTTTGTGTTCTTCTGCGGCGAGTCTTGCAGAACTTAGCTCCGACCGCATGGACAGTTTCCACGAGCTTGACATTCATATCGTCTACTTCATTGCAGTCTTCTAGGCACTGAAAACGGTTTTGTAACTCGAGCTGAAAGGTTTCGGGACTTTGGAACAGAGCACGAGGGGGACGGAGCGTTGACTTCATTAGACGAGACCTCTCCAACTTAACGTTTAGGTTCAGTGTGCCTCTAACCACTCGGTGATCACTACCAGTTTTCACCCTCGCGATCACGGAGACACCACTGAACAGTTGTCGTCTGGTTGTCATAATGAAGTCAATCTCATTTTTTGTCGAACCGTCGGGGCTCGACCAGGTCCACTTCCTGTGGAGCCGCTTCTGGAAGAAAGAGTTCATCATATAGAGTCCCTCTTTCTCCATGAAGTCGGCCAGCTGCTGGCCCCTTGGGTTCCGTTGCCCTATTCCAAATTTCCCTACTTTCAGCTCACCGTTCTCTCTTGTGCCTAGTTTTGCATTGAAGTCTCCCATTAACACCGTATATTGGGTTTTGGAGGAATGCATGGCTCTAGAGATATCCTCATACATTTCTTCCACCTCCTCATCGGGGTGTGCCGAGGTTGGTGCTTAAACCTGTATGACCTTCAGCGAATACCGTTTGGTGATTCTGAGTATAAGGTACGCAACCCTCGTCGACACACTCCCGATCTTTACAACGTTGTTAACGAGAGACTTGTGGACGATAAATCCGACACCTCCTTGGGACAGATGGTCGCCCTCCCGGTGATAGAGCAAGTTGCCGGATTCGAGGATTACCGTGTCCTCCCCCTCTCTTCGGACTTCGGATAATCCTATAATATGTCAGCGCAACTTGTCTATCTCTTCTTCCAGCTCCACGATCTTCTCGTCAGTCCTCAGGGTGCGTGCGTTGTACGTTGCCAGGTCGAGTCGTCTAAGGTGGCAACCGAACCTCCACCGGAGATTCTTAGCACCCCCTGCCCCGCCGTTACCATGGTCGCCACCATAGCCAGGAATAGCGGGGCCGCCGGAGACTGGGGGCCGTCTTTTTGTTACATTCATAGGGGGGTATTTGCCATAGTTGCCACGCTTGGCGAGCGGGTTGGCAACCGCAGTTTTTTTATTGTAATTTTGGCTATTATCAGGAAGATGCTGCTGCCCATCTCCTGCCTGTTTCCCTTTGTCGCCTTTTACGACACCCACGGGAGGATATGGGGTAGTGGATATTCTTGACCGCCACTACACGGTCACTATTCCATCAGTTGACTGAAATTTTTAACAGTGGTAAAGCCACGCGGCAGCTTTTGCTGTCGCACGGATGGGCCGGCTCGAACCGGGGTGGTACCACGACCTCACAGAAAACCAGCGTGAAGTAGAGGTTTACCTCTGCGTTTCGCTTGGTGAGTGCAGGTGGCCGGAGGCTCTTTTTACTGGAAATGAGGCATTCCATCTTAGTCCTCACGGATGACAACGCATCTACACTTTGATTTGTAATAGATAGATGTAGATGTCTATGGGCCGCAACAATCACTTACCATTAGGAGGACTGTGTGCTCGTTTGTCACCCTTATCCTATAAAAAAAATAAGGATAATAATCATTCTTCTTATAATATACCTTTGTTTAGGCCAAATCTTAAAATTTAATACTTGCATTCAAAACGGTCTTCTCGGCGCGTTTATCCGATGGTATTTGGGTCACCGCCTGGCCCCCTTTCCCGCGCGCGTTTCTCCGCTCACCCTCGGTCGCCTGACGTGTGGGCGATCAACCGGGCGGCCGTGTCCTTACCAGTCTAAAAGTTACGCTCGAATCGTTAGGTCGCGTGAATACAGCCTCTTACTGCGTTGTCTTTTTCGTGCGTTTACGTGACAAAGAGGCTTTTCTTGACTTTTGAAACGCTTAAAATTTGTGACCCGAGAGAAGATCGCGTTCGTCTTCGATCATAATTTTGTGCTAAGTGACGTTAGACTTGAGTTCACATATAGGTGAACGCACACTGGAGTGATCGTACATTGTGGAGCAGAGCAGCGCATGTGGGTGCTGTCCGATTACACCGGTGACGTCAGGTTACATTTACACAATTTCGCATACCACTTACACCCACCTACTTACCCCCTGACGGTACCTTGTGGTCGACCCTACCTCCGGAACTCGCTAAGTTTGTGTTTGCTTATCAGCCATTACATAATAATTATCCATAGGCCATTTGGGCCCGAACCCTCTGGTTGCAGGTCGAGTGGGCTACTCACGGGCCCTAGTCCAGTTTACTTCTGTCAGAGCAACTGAGGGCCGTAACATTTTCTGGTAGCAGAGCGTGGTTGATTGCTTTTCTAATCACGCCCGGCCGTAATATAAAAAAATATTTTTTCTTTTTTTTCTTTTTGTTTTTGTTTTTTTTGTTTGTTAGCGAATCGGTGGTTAGAATCACGCCCGTTAGGCTGCGCAAGCAGGAGTGTAGTTTAGGGTTAGGTACCTGCGCGTCAGGTATTTCTGGTAGGTAGATTAAATTGCCGAAGGGTCGGTCGCCTGAGCGAGGCATGTTTGCTGACCGACTGTAGTGTGTACTTGCCGTGTAGTGTTATTTGTATTTAATTTAATTTAATAGTAAATTGTATTTAGTAGTGATGCCATCGCACCGGCGCTTCGCCTGCAGGCAGAGCTGCGCTGGGCCGCGAATGCCCATAATTTGATAGGGCGACCCGATCGGATCCATAATTTAGAGAAGCGGCTTGAGTAGTTCGCGGCCCGAAGGGCCGTAGTGGAGGAGTCTTACACTGAGCTCGTGACCTCGGATGTGAAACAGGGAGTCCTACACTCCTGCCTCGTGGACTACGAGCAATTCTTTTCGCTCACGGACGACTTGATCGAGGCGAGGTACCAAGTATGCTAATGAAGCGCGTGAAGCTCGGCTGAGTGGCCTGCCTGAGTCCCCTCGGAAGCAGCTTACTCAGCCGGAGCTGTTGGGACGACTCCCAACTCTGGACCTGCCAAGGTTCTCCGGGGTCCTCTCCGACTGGCTGACCTTTGTTGATCTTTTTGTTAGCCTAGTGGACGCCCGGAGGGACTTGACACCAAGCCAGAAGATGGCGTACCTCCTGGCCTCACTGGAGGGGGAGGCCCTGCGCGTCGTCGGCCATTTGAGATTGTCGGACGAAGCCTACCAGACTGCCCGGGACCTCCTCGCCGGAAAGTATGCCAACGTCCGGCAAATTACGGACGGCTACGTAAGGCAGCTTCTAAACCTCCCGCTGCATAGGGACCGGGCCAGACTACGTCCGGACATCGTAAATCCAGTCGTGGTGGCCTGTAATTCGTTGTGGCGGCTGGATTTACCGGTGGACGAATGGTCCTTCTTGTTGCTCCACATCGTGATGTCCCGCCTGCCTCTCGATCTTCGGATCCATTTTGAGGAGAGGTACGGCGGGGACGGCGCCTCCTATATTCCGCCCTTCAGGGACCTGCTGCGGTTCTTGGAGGAGCAGTGCCGGATAACTGAGAACGCAGCGGGCACCGTCGACGACCTACCGGTTACCGACTGAGCCGTGCCCAGGGAGAGGCGGAATCCGCCGGGCAAGTCGGCGCCAACACCTCTAAGGCCGAGCGGAGTTCCCGCGGGAGAGCGCCGCCCCCTACCATCTTATAGCGGCCTAGCGGCCAGGGAGGCGCCCCCCTGCTCCTATTGTCGAGCATCTGATCACCGGGTGACGTCGTGCCCGAAGTTATTGGGTAAGCCGGTCCCGGCGAGGCGAAGTATCGCCAAAGAGCGCCGCTGGTGCTACTCGTGCTTGGAAAGGCACCTCCAACGAGACTGCCCGCACCAGCGGTCCTGATTTTTTGATTTCCAACCACGGGTCATTGAGATGCCGCCGGAATGCCGCTTTCGGGGCCCCGGTTCGAGTGCCGGTCCGATGGAGGCAGCTCCAGCTAGGTAGCTCCCACCATGGCCGCCTCCACTGATCCTTTGAGCCGTCAACAGTCCACTTGTCAAACTGTTCTATTGCCGACGGCCTCAGTGAAGGTGTACAACCCGAGTGGCGAATGTTTAACGGTTCGCGCTCTATTGGATTCGGGTTCACAACGCTGTGTGGCCTCCACTTAGTTGGTGGGAAGACTAGGGCTCCCCTGGAGTTCTGAATCACGTCCAATGGTAGGTATCGGAGGTGCCGAGCCTCCTAGGGGACAAGCGAAGTTGGTGTTTGGCCCTGTCAGCGAACACCTTCACATTGTATTTAAAGTAAATGTCCTTGATGACATTGTAGGTTTTCTCCCTAACGTCCGTATAAGTGACAGCGCGGTTTGTTGTGCGTCGGGTCTGAGACCGGCAGACCATCAGTGGTCCCAACCTGGGCCTATAGATTTGTTGCTGGGGGCCGACTTGCTGGGGTTCATCTTGTTAGGCGAAATACGAGCCCTACAGCCCGATGGCTTGTCAGCCATGTCCACTGTATTTGGGCACAGCTTCTTTGGACCGGTTCTGTGGTCTCCACCTTCTCAGACGGCCGACCCGCTCTCTATTGTGGGAGTGTCCCTTTCGGACGGTGTCCAGGTTCTGGAAAATTGAGTAGCCACCACACGCGGCTCGAGTCAACCCTCTGGACCGTGAGTGCGAGTTGTTCTACCAGAACAATACCAGCCGTCGTGTCGACTTTGTAGCCGACATTCGGATGATGTTTCGACAATCAGTGGTCCAACGTGATTACCGTCGATATCAGCTGATAATGTAGCGCGAGAAGCCCAGCGATCCGATACAGGTGTTTGAGTTGATTACCACCACCTATGGACCCGGTCCAGCCCGTATATCACCATGCGAACCCTCCTTGAACTCGCTGAGAGAGAGCGTCTAAAATACGCTCGGGGGGCTTCTATTTTGGAGACTTCGGTCTACATGGACGATATTTGCACGGGCGCCTCCACCGTCGAGTAGGCTCTTGTATTGCGAGACGAATTGATTGCCATCCTGAAGTCCGGAGGGTATGAGTTGCGCAAATGGTTGTCGAACTCCCCTCATATTTTAAAGGACCTCCCAGGAGAGGATCAACAAGACCCTCATCTATTCGAGCACCTTGAAAATCCTAATTTGTTGACTGTGCTGGGCATTCAATATCAGCCTGTTCAGGATACCTTCACGTATCGAGTCAAACTCGATCCCTCTCCTAAAGCATGAACCAAACGCTCCGTGCTGTCTACAGTAGCCCGCACCTACGATCCTAATGTATGGATCACTCCGGTCATTTTATTGGCTAAGTTCTTTCTTTAAAAGCTCTGGATATCCGGGTTGGGTTGGGACGAGCCTATTAGCGGTGCTCTTGCGAGAGTGGCACTCCATTGTGTCCTCCCTTCCGGACATCAATCGGGTCTCCATGCCAAGGTGCTTCCTCCCTCCAAGGAAATGCAGGGCTACCATACATGGATTTTGCGACGCCTCTGAGAAAGGCTATGCTGCTGTCATATATTTGCGG